GCTTTCCCCCCCCCCTTTGGACTGCTGCTCCCAGAACCCCCAGTTTCTCCAATTTCTTAGCAAAAGAATTCCAGAGGAGTGCAGATAGCCCATCAGAGACCAACCAATGACTTATTGTTTGTTGTTGTTTCAACTAACAGTGTTCAACTAACAGTGTTAGATGACTCTCTGCTTGGTTTACAACACAATTAGGCAAGCAACACTTTGTCCCCCAGCAAGCTAGGTACTCATTTTACCAACCTTATTTTATCAACCTTGAGCCGGTTACCTGAACTCAGGTCATGAGCAGAGGCTTGACTGAAGTACTGCAGTTTAACCACTGTGCCACAGGGCTTGTCCCCATGTGATATGTGTAACATGTACTCATCTTTATCAAAGATGTAAAGAATACTCACTCAATTCTTTGTTCTCACTGGCCAGAATCTGTTTGTACATCTCTGAGCAGATCATTGAAACTTTACTCTCCCATCTGCTTCCCCAATGCTGAGGTTCCCTAGGGATCCCTTTTGGCCAAGGGAAGCCCTTGGGACCCCTTGGGACTGGGGGAAGACACTCACGTCCAAAAAGCACTGTTGCCTAGTCCCTATCCCATACAATGTAGCAATAGCCATGATCATTCTGCATGATTTGAATAATGTGCACCATTTTTGCTTACTTCTATGCAAAACCAGGGTCCTTGATCTCATTTTCTTCTCTCGTGAAGAGCACAGCAAAATACCTCATCCTCTCGTAGTTCCAGGAGAATAATAAGAAGGAGAAAAGCAAGGATTTCCATCACAAATCCTTATATATTTTTAGGCTATATACTTTTGTTTCTACTGTCAGGTTTTGTCAGTCCCCTCTGCCTCCTGGAGCTTCCTGTGCCATCTCCAGGCACATACAGTAGATCTCACCCACAGGTCTCCTTTCCTCAGTAAAACCTCTTCTGGTTCCTGGCAAAGCAAATGAAAGATCCATCATTACTAAAGCTAAAAGACTGTATTTGGGAAGATATTTCTCCTCTAATGGTGAGCAAGACATCTAGTAGCTTTCCCCAGCTTGGAGAAGCTACTGTTTTGGATAACAACTTCCATACCAAACTCTAGTATCTTGATACAAGGATATGAAGCTGAAACCTGGGCGTTAACCAGAGAACAAAGCATAACACTTGGGAAACTTGCTTAGTGACTGCAACTTTGAGAACCTCCCTATTAGCATGGCCACTGGTAGAAGGGGATTTTGGAGAGCGTACTGCCCTTCATTCATGGTCCACTGGCCATGTTGGCTGGGACCGAGAGGGGTGTTATGATCTGAAACATTTGGAAATATAGAAGATTGCTGTATAGAGTGAGAATGACTCAGTGGTGACAGGGGGTTCCTGGGAAACAATACAGGAGTTTAGTGCTACTTAGTTGTGCACACTGTCCTTGAAACCTGGATGCACCACTAAAATCGATGGTGATTTACAGCCAGAAAACATACCCTAAACTTCCTGCAACTTCCCTAAAGTCAGGGATTTCAGACTTTGCTTCTCATCTATCATGACTAATTCCATGCCATCCGTGTTTGACACTCAAGCAGTACAAGGTTGTTGAAGATATCAGAGCACGGGTGGTCAACACATGGCCTATGGGCTGCTTACAGCCTCCATTTTCCCCATTGGCCATTGTTGCAGAAACAGCACCACTGAAACCACCATGTCGTTGTTGTTTAGTCATTTAGTCATTTAGCCAGGCCCTCCTGTCTTCCACTGCCTCCCAGAATTGTGTCAAATTCATTCTGGTAGATTCGATGACACTGTCCAACCATCTCATCCTCTGCTGTCCCCTTCTCCTCTTGCCTTCACACTTTCCTAACATCAACGTCTTTTCCAAGGACTCTTCTCTTCTCATGAGCTGGCCAAAGTATTGGAGGCTCAGCTTCAGGATGTGTCCTTCCAGTGAGAACTCAGGCTTCCTTTAGAATTGATAGGTTTATTCTCCTTGCAGAAACCACCACAGCCCCTGACAAAACTGACCAACAACAATGGTACATGCCTGCAGGACTTGATGGTGGTAGTGTAAAAAACCCTATATGTTAAATTTCCTTCCCCTTCTAGAAGGAAAAGAGACTTTCAAAAATGCTGGTAGGTCTCTATGGTGCAGAAGAGTGCACCATGTCCTGCACCACAAAGAGCCTGGTGCAACTGCATCCATCATTGCGGATGATCTGTCTCCACACAGGCACATATAAAGCAGAGAAGCAGACTGTCAGTCTACAATGTGTACATGTTGGCGGAGAGCAGGAGGCTAATGGTGGAGCAGCAAAAGAAGCCAATGGGGGAAAAGGAGTTTAGCAATTTTGCCTTGGGCTGGAAATGCTAAACTTAAACTAGAAATTATTCAGGCAATGGCTACACGGATGATGAAAAGCAGATCCTCCTCTCTTCTTTTCACAGGATGCAAATACAGAACCCAGAAGTTTCCAACTAAACCTCGACTGCATCTGCATGACCCAGATACAGCAGTCTGATACCACTGAAATTTGTAATCCTGACATTTGTAATGTGGTGAGATACTTAGATTTCTCTCCTAGAGAGTTCTGCTGTGGCACTCTGGACGGGAACACTGGACCAGTCTGAGTATCCTCTCCAAATTGCAGATCCAAGGATGCTGCAGAATAGCGCCATCAAACTTCCATCACTGTATAATAGCTTCATAACAACTACCTGTTTCATTGAGACCAGGAACAAAGTTGGGCTCATCTGCTTTGAAACATGTACCAGCTTCAAACTGTGCTTAAAGATCCTTGCCTGTTCCAAAATTAGTGAATGTCTCTTCTTGGCTTGGAAACAACAGGAAGCCATAATAAACTACAGGCTTTTTCATGGCTTTAATCTACATTAGAGAGGGAGACTGAAGAAGCAATGTGCACAGGAACAAACAGGCAAAATAATAATAAGTCAAGATATGAGCATCCATTGTTTTGTACCTAGTTTCTAGGTAGAAAACAATGCAACATGTTTTTCCCCAAAATGTGGACATTCATGTTTACAGCTGTCACAGTGAACTGACCATATATTTTCAAATATATGGGTCTGTATTCAAAACCTGACCTGAGAAGCAAATCTTGGAATATCGTTCACAAGAGACTCTAAAAGCGTGTGCTATTTCTAGCCTATATCCTGATTAAAGCACGTTGAAAATCTAACCTATGGAGATGCATTTTCTTGTTATACTTAGGGCAATCATGCAACTATTGGCAATATGGGTACATCGCCAAAACATACTACCAGGTGGGCCTCAATCATAGTTCCAAGGTTTGGATTTGGTGGAGAAATTACATGTCCCTGCTCACATGGCTGAGAGCACAAGCTGATCTTTTGAGAAGTGTCCCCCTCCCAACAATTCCGTCCATATACAACGGCTTCTAATTCAGAATGGGCTACCTGTGGCATGGGATTTGGAAACCTGTGGAATTCATTGTCACATTATGAGATTATGTCCACAAAATGATGTTGTTGAAAGATGAGTAGATAAATTCATAAATTCATAAATGCTAAGAAAAGCTGAGAAAAGTAATTCTTTGGGAACACAACCTCCGAATCTAACAATGATTGCTAGTCATGTTAGTGAAATGTCTTCGCTCCATGCTTAGGAACAGATGATGAGAGAAAGGGGGGAAATATTTCTGACGACAATTACCTTTCTCTCGTCATGAGTTTCCTTAGACATCTTTGGGCTTTGCTGTACAAAGAAGGCTGAATAAGATGAAACATCTTGTGATCCCAGTAAAGGCAACATAATGCCATCCTTAGACAATAGAAAATGGATGAAGGCATTTTTAACAATTCTAATCTACATTCCTTCCAGCCATTAAGAAAAAGCAACCTATATGAGGACAATGCTGGTGACTCCAGTTATAAAGGTGCCGAAAAAAATGCAGAACATTTACACTAAGAGTCAGTTGCAAAAAAAAAAATGGCCTCATGCCTAGACATACATAAACAAGTTACGTAACACCAAATTAATAAAGCCCAAACCACATTTATGAACTAATGAGCATGGAGGTATCGTTTATGGGAAGAATAAAAAGGCGAAGTTGACAAGCAGCTCTACCGGCTCTGACTGCAAAGTCTGAAAAACTTCAAAGCAGCCGTGGATACAGATGCACATACATGGGAGCTGTGAAATAAATCCGGCTTTGGCTGCAAATATTCAGCTCGAGACCAGCATGCCTCCCCTTCTGCTCTGCACCAGGAGCATTGCAGAGCTGGTTTATCCCCCATTTCTCCCCTCCACTTACCTCTTCCATTCTCCCTTTCCTGCTTGTATTCTCCTCAATGTCACCATCTGTCACCACTGCGCTCCTGCACCCCCTCATTCCCCCCTTTCTCCCTCTTATTCCTCTCAGTTTCTCCTTCCTGTCTCTCTCTCTCTTGCTCATTCCCTCCATCAGAATCACTATGTCACTCCTTCTCAGTCTTTCCCCCATTCTCTCTCTCTCTCCCCCCTCCATGTATTCATTCATTCATTCATTCATTCTCCCTCTGTCTCTCTCCATTTCTCTCTGTGCGTCTCTCTCATTCCCAATACCTCCTCTCACTTGTTCCCCTCAGGGCACCTCTCCTTATTGGCTGGTGGCAATCTTCCCAGGAGTAATTGGTAGACAGTTTGATCTTCCTAACCCCTGTGAGACAGAAGCCCCCTCACTTCATTCAGCAGCAGGAGGATTGCTGGGGAGGGAGGCAGGGAGGACAGTCCGGCTGGGCTCCACTCAACAAATGCTGGAAAGCAGCTTTCTTACCTGCAGTAGCGCTGGAGACCAGGTGAGAGAATGACAGCAGCAGGTAGGCAGATGTGGGAGCCCAGGGGCCATAAGGAGAGACACCACCTCTGGAGCAGCAGTAACAGCAGCAGCAGCAACAGAAGAAGTGAGGGAAAGAGAGCCAGGTATCTCAAAGGGGGAGAGCTGCTTTTGATATAAAAGATTCCATATTCGTCTCACCCAGGAATTCATTGCTGTCTCTGTCTTTTTATTTTAAGAAGAAATCAGAATATGAACTATCATCATGAGAAGTGAAGGCAAATAGCCACACTTTTGACATGTAAGTAATGGGCAAATCTGCTTCTTATTTTTTTAGCATTATTTCCCGGTTTCTACTGCATGCAAAAGTTTGCTTTGGCAGCCTGTAAAACTGAGGCATCTTAGGGCACTGTTCTGCCCCCCCATCTCTCAAAAATATTTTTTCTCTTTAAAAAATTATAAAGGAGACCAAGTTTTTCATCAAGGTGGGACAGGGAGATGGAGGGGGGAAGAGGACGGGTCAGGTTACAGCACTGCCTTATCTTCAGGTTCACTGTCCTGTTCGCCACTGACATGCGTTCGCCTGGATCTGTCCTGTGCCTACTGCCTTCCATTTCATATGTTGGTGGTTGCAACCTGTCACTCTTTGCTCCACTAAAGTTTCCAAGAATCGTTATGGAATAATTGATTTGTGGATTATAGTCTTGAGTTGTACAGCCTTGGGGGCAGAGATGAAATGCACTACTGAATTGAATGACTAGGAGCTCATTTGGAATGGGGGAAGGGGGAGGTCTTAAGGGTCCTCCAAACAATCAGAGAGAAGGAGAAGCACAATGGTTGGTGTTTCCTCACATTGGGATGAAAAATCGTCTGCAGTCTGGAAGGAGCAACGATGGCACTCAGATGAAGGAAATGGACCACAGGTTATTTTAGATTAGGTCTCCTCTTACAGCAAGTTAGCAATGTATGCCTCAATCTTAAAAATGCACATAGGAAACCTGCTGAAATCTTTCAGAGCGGTAGATTCTATTTAGACAGTGTTATTGCCAAGATAGTTTTAAATTTATTCCAGAATCATTACTGGCTAGGAAAAAGATATAGTTTCTCTCTCTTACATGTCTGTTTTATTTCAGCCTCAGTAATAGGCAATTTTGAATAAATGCATTTCTGCTTATAAATAAAGTCATGAATGACCCTTTGGGAAGGGATGGCATGCTGACCTGCACAATTCCAACACATTCTCTTACACATCGCACTATTGATGGGTCTGTTACTGGGGATTAATTCCAAAAAAAAAATCCCTCAGTAAACCCAAGGCTGTAGTTCCATTGGGTTATCAATCAACGCTGGCCATGAATGGTTTGCCACCCCCAAATTGCCAACAGAATAAGGGCATGTCAGCATTTGTGGGAAGGCAATGTTGATAGGGATGGACAGCTCAGTGAGTTAGGTATCTGGACGGGGAGCCAAAGGTTGTGGGTTCAATTCCCCAACTGAACATCCAACAAGAGCCCGTGTGGGTGGCTTTGACTATAAGCTGCACAATCCCAGGATATCTCCAAAAGGAATTACCACTTCTAACGGCTTTCTAACAGGATCACATAATTTGAGTCTTGGTGAAAAGTCATGGGAGTGACTATCTTTGATATGCCATTCCACAGGCATTTAACTGGTTCTTCCTTTGATGGCAGGGTGGAATGAGAGCTGCTGCATAAAATTTAGCCAGAAATACAGTTTTCTTTCAATTGATACAGTTTTTTCAAGTGACACAGCAGTGGGAAGTGAGGAAAATAAATGTCTGTTTTGTGCCCTTTCCCCCACCCTTTGAAAAAACTATGCCTAAGGTGCGTACAGAGGGCTGAAAAGGTGTGCACCTCATTACACCATAAAGGACCACTTCAATGGCATTGATCTTCCTTAAAGGGACCCTTTCATCTGCCAGACAATTGCTTCAATCCAGTCCCCAAAAGTAGAAGCCCTACAACTGGACCAAAAGAACCAGCCTAGGCACACATCAGGATCGGGCTGTGCATCCTGTGATCACCAGGAAACAGGCTGCACCAGACAATTCCACAAGTATTCATGAAGGCTTTCACGGCTGGGATCCGATGGTTGTTGTGGGTTTTTCGGGCTCTTTGGCCGTGTTCTGAAGGTTGTTCTTCCTAACGTTTCGCCAGTCTCTGTGGCCGGCATCTTCAGAGGACAGCACTCTGTTGGAGTACAGGGAGCACAGAGTGTTGTCCTCTGAAGATGCCGGTCACAGAGACTGGCGAAACGTTAGGAAGAACAACCTTCAGAACACGGCCAAAGAGCCCGAAAAACCCACAACAACCATCGGATCCCAGCCGTGAAAGCCTTCGTGAATACTTGTGGAATTGTCTGGTGCAGCCTGTTTCCTGGTGATCACAGGATGCACAGCCCGATCCTGATGTGTGCCTAGGCTGGTTCTTTTGGTCCAGTTGTAGGGCTTCTACTTTTGGGGACTGGATTGAAGCAATTGTCTGGCAGATGAAAGGGTCCCTTTAAGGAAGATCAATGCCATTGAAGTGGTCCTTTATGGTGTAATGAGGTGCACACCTTTTCAGCCCTCTGTACGCACCTTAGGCATAGTTTTTTCAAAGGGTGGGGGAAAGGGCACAAAACAGACATTTATTTTCCTCACTTCCCACTGCTGTGTCACTTGAAAAAAATGTATCAATTGAAAGAAAACTGTATTTCTGGCTAAATTTTATGCAGCAGCTCTCATTCCACCCTGCCATCAAAGGAAGAACCAGTTAAATGCCTGTGGAATGGCATATCAAAGATAGTCACTCCCATGACTTTTCACCAAGACTCAAATTATGTGATCCTGTTAGAAAGCCGTTAGAAGTGGTAATTCCTTATGCAATGTTTGATAACCATAAGGCAAGCTTTTTTGCCTCCAGTAGTTTGCAAATTAGCTGGATTGTTTCATGATTGGCCATTGAGAGATTTACACAGGCTCTGGCTGCCGAATCCTGCCAAAGCCCAGGAACAAATCACCTTCTAAAGAAATTTAATCTGTATTATCTGAGTAGACCCTTGAAAACATGCTTAGCCCATTCTTTTTCCTATAGCATCCCCTTTCCCTCTCCCAGAATGATTTCTGGAACTCCTGAAAGCCCCATTAGCAGACTGCACCCAGCTTCACATTCCCTTTCCATTCAATGCACTGTCTAGTTATGTTCACCTCTGTGTCACTGCCATCCTGCTTATGTCATTGCTGAACGGGTCTCATCACTCACTAGAAAGTTCTTGCATACATTTAACTCAATAGCAATTAAACTAATGTGGGTTCAGAAAGAGAGAAGTCAGGTAAGAGGAATCAAGACAGATTCCCCACTTCTACTGAGTGCAGTTCAGCTCTGCATTATCTACACTCCTTGGCTGTGACTTCCTAGTAGGCTTGTCATGTCTACATCTCCAAAGTACACACACAAAATGGAGAAGATACTTGTAGTATGGTAAGCTCCAGATCCTCCAGATTCTCCAGATCCAGATCCTCCAGATCCACCTGCCAGGAGTAGACTTTGTCTAAAAGGGTGGGATAGAAATCTAATAAATAAATAAATAAATAAAATTCTGGGAGTGGTAGTGCCAAAATGGAATGTTTCCCCTCTCTGTCAATGTAAAAGAAGTATGGTCCACTATAATCTCCACTGAATAGCACAGTAGTTTAGGTGTCTGGCTGCATAGCCAGAGGTTGGGAGTCCAATTCCCCTCTGTGCATCCTTTGAGTAGAGCCAGCTAGCCTGGCCTTGGGCAAACTGCACAACCCCAGAAGAAGAAAATCGTAAACCATTTCTGAGAATACCTTTCCTGGAAAACCTTGGAAAAGGTAGCCATAAGTCAGAATTGACTTGATGGCACATTTATTATTATTATTATAGTCTCTACGATCTCTTTAGCATCTATCTCTGAAGCTAACAAAAAGAACGTCTTTGTTCCCCTACAGGCCAGCCCCGTGATTACACTGAGTGGGGCAATCGTTTGAGACAGCTGACTTTGGAGTTTCATGAAAGGGCAGCAAATGGTTAATTATTTACTTTGTCACTAACTGTTAATTATTTACTTTGTAACTGTCATACTTATACTGTAAGGGAGGGGGGTAAATAACTCGACTGGACTTTAATGTGGTGCCCATCTGGGTGGTTAAGGGTGTCAGCTGCAGCTTTGTCTCCTGCAAGAAAATGTCTAGTGCCGGGCCATATCTCAGTTTGCTTTCTTTAGATCAATGGGGGCAGGAGGTGAGAAGGATTAAAAGAGAGAACGTGACAAGACATTCATCAACAGGCATTTCTCATTTACATGAGTGTTTTTCAATGTATGAAAGTGTCTTATTGACACATGGGTCTCTACAATTTTAAAAGTGGAAAAGTGGCCACTCATAACCGAATTCTATTTCTTTCGACACTACACCATCTTTCCATGTCTGTCTCTGTTTACAAAGCCCATTCAGTCTCCGCTTGCCACTTGACCTGAGGTGTGCTGGTCTTAGGATTTGTGGAGGCTTCTAAGCAAAAGAGGCCATTAAGAAGACAGATATTGTATTCCTTGGCCAATGAAGGGCAGAGCAAGTGGGGGACAGAAGCAGCGAATTTATCCTAAGCACAGAGTTAGCAATATTGTTTCTGTTCTCCTTGGTGTAAACTAGGGCTGTGTGCCCCAGATTTAAGCAAATGCCAAAGCACTAACTAGGCTGGGGCTGTATATGCAGGTCCATGTCAGCCCTGAACCAGAGCAAAGAGTCCAGGGCCAGTCAGGGTGTGGAGTGTGATCTGCATGGATTCCTCCTATGGAAGCCAGACTTTCAGGGGGTTGAAAATGGTGGTTGTTTTTCCAAAACAAGAGAAGCTATCAATAAGGTGCCTGAGATGGCAGCAGTGGAGACCAGCAGCTACACATTCACACCTGGGAAGCTAAAGACTTCTCTTACACACTCCAGTTTCCAAAGCACTAGGTGTTGGAAGTCACTGGGTGCAACTCCACTTACATTCGAGAAGACACATGTCCTTGCATGGGGAGGAGAAAAAAAGAGAGGACCTCCTCAGGCTTCCTAGACTGCCCTTTATTTGTTCTGCTCTGTGCTGACATTCCTTTGATGTTCGATGGCTATTCTTCAGGTTGGTGATGTCACTTTCTTCTTTCTCACATCTTACCCCCTTGTTCTTCTAAGGAGAAGACATCCTAGCTTTGTTCTCTAGAGATCAAATGAGCAGCCATTTCTTTTGACATCTCCAACTTAGTTGGCAAGAACTTGGACTTTTCTCACCTTTCCTACCC